GTGTTTTGGGCCTCGTTGGCAGCGCGTCAGTCTCATAATCTGAAGGCCGTGAGTTCAATCCTCACACGGGGCAGTGGTTTTAATGCTTCTTTGACTTGAATTATCAGCCTGGCATTTTGTCCATGTCAATGAAAACAACATCTGGCCTTCAATCGTCGACGTGAACTGCGTTTTGGGCCTCGTTGGCGCAGTAGATAACATTATTTTGCCAAGAGTATGAAATATGAAAAAGTGATTTTCTCACATAAATGCAGAGAAATATTTTATGGTGACATTTTTATTGTTTGTTGTATTTTTGATGTAATATTATGCTGCATTTCTTCCTTGTCGAATTAAATCCAAAAAACATCCCGTGACTGAGCTTTTTATACATTGTAATTAATTCAAAATTCAAGTAGAGGTTGGCATAACTCCTATTTACTAAACACTATCTTATCATAGTCTTGACGTTCAGGTTGCATGTCTCTCTGTTTACTTGCTGCAGTTTCAACATTATGCAACCTTTGGAATCAGGCTTCAGAGTGGAACTTTCCCATAACTCGCCCAACCTTACAGGTGCATGTCATGTGTTGATGAACAGCTGTGATGCAGACAGGTTTGAATTGCTCAGACAGGCGTGTCTCAACTCTACGATTTATCTTCCGCTTCATTCTGGCAACATGTGTATCCTGCTCTTATATGTTTAACGTGAGAATATTTTGCCAGAAGGTACATACAAAAACAGATCAGTGAATCAAAATCTAAGTGCTTTTTGATGCGTAAGATTTGTGTATCGGTGTATTTGTGTAATAATGGCTGACTTCTACCCAACAGGTAAGACAAGCTGGTCCTATATGAGGAGATGGTTCAACTTTATCTTTGTGTCAGAACTTGCTTTGCATAACTTGTCACCAATGATTGGCTTATACCTTCCATCAAAAGGTTGTTTGAATACATAAAATAGAAGCTGAAACTTCTAAAACAATGAATGCTGTTTTTTCTATCAGGAAAATCATTCTTACCTCAGTTTATGATTTATGTGTAAAAGGGTAAATATTAGATAATGATTTAATTTGTTGTGTATTAACCAGTAATAAGCAAATTAACAAGGAGAATACTTAATTAATCAGTCTAGTGCTGCCTTCAATTGCTTAATAAATATTGTAAAACAAATTCTTCCCCTGGATATTTGGTTCAATTGATAATTTCTACATAAAACGCCCCATTCATAATATTGCAATTATGTAAATAATACAAAAGATTCATAACAGATTAAATAAATTTTTATTAAAAAAAAAAAAAAAAAAAAAGGTTATTCCGTACATTCCGATTTAAAAGCTGAGCCTGAACGTTGCACCAGAATGACAAACTGGGCAGAGACGCGCATGCGCAGTCGCAGTGTTTGCATTCCTCCCTCCCTCCCTCCTCTTGAGACTGACAGCTCGGTAGCTGCTCACCGGCAATGAGACAGCAAACACGGGCTCGGTAAAACACCTCGAGATGGACTTGGCCGACACTTTTCACCACTACAAAGACGGATATTATTTAGACAGCGTTGTCTGTTGACAACAGACGAAGTTATTCCTCGCCAGGATTATTTTTGTTAACGGGAAAAAGGATACTCCACGACGACTGATTTCCTGCGACATACACCGGCTAAGAAGCTTTCACTTTGAAGACCACCTGAGTAAATCTAAACTATTCTTGGCTTTTGTTACACTAACATCTGCAAAACATACGTGTTAAATAGAGAGGTGATACACCAGGTTGTGGAAGAGCGCGGCTAATCGCTGCTAGCTTCAAGCTAACCGACGGCTAGCTGAATTTTCTTTGTTTATTTAATTTGAATCATTGAATACAGTGTTTTTAATCTATCTTACGTCGGATAATACGTCTGCCAGGAAGACTTGCGTCGTTTATAACGACACCCTTGAACGTTTAGCTTTCTAAAGGACATAAATTATCTTGACTTCTCACTTATGGCTCGTTAGTATCGCGGTACTGCAAGCTGACCCAGCTAGCTATAGCATCTGTTTTAGCCGTCAGCCACTTCTTGGCCTTTGGTAACTCATTGACGGCAAAGATGCACCACCAGGACTTTTCTGCAGAGAGTAGGAAAACGTCTTTCCACTACCGGAGAGGTAGCGGCGGTGCTCCTGCAGCCTCCTCCAGTGGAGCCAACACGGCTGAAGACAATCCCACCCAGGCTGGGTCCAATTCACCCGGACCCCCCCACCACCAGCCACAGTCCCAGGTGGCTGGCACTCAGGTGAAGAAGAAGAGTGGCTTTCAGATAACAAGCGTGACCTCGGCTCAGATCAATGTGAGCGGCAACAACAGTTTAGCAGATGACACCGAGAGTTACGATGACATGGATGAGTCACACACGGAAGACCTCTCCTCCTCCGATATGCTGGATGTGTCCGTGTCCAGGGCCACGGATACTGGTGTGCCGGAGAGAAGCTCTTCTGATGAGACCCTCAACAGTCTTCATGGGGTCGACACACCTGGGATTGTGTCTCCTAACGAGCCTCTGCACCCTCATTCCATCCCTCAGGGGTCTCAGCCACACACCTCTATGGTAAATGGGACCATGCATCATCATTATTATCCTCAGCAACACAGCCAGCCTCACCATCATCACCCTGATAGCCAGGGAGGAGGGGAGCCCTCAGTGCCGGCTCTTCCCATCACTCCCGTGGGTAGCTCCAGCCCATCTATGGCTTCCAGAGCCGGGACTAACCACTCACAGAGGCCATCGATGTTAGATAACAGTAAACCTGCAGGTGGGACAACCCAACCATCAGCCCCTGTTGCTGATCCACAGCTACAAGGCAACGTGAACGTTTCTAATGTGTCTGCTGTCACTGCTGCTGCAGTTCCTCCTTCTGGGCCTGCAGGTTTTGACAACACTAGTGTAAGTGGGCACGTGGCTTCTGTTGGAGGAGGAGCAGGCCCGTCTGCTGCTGCCCTCAACACTCAAACCCAACACACACAGACTCAGACTGCTACTGGCTCTCGTTTTAGGGTGGTCAAACTAGACACTAACTCTGAGCCATTCCGCAAAGGAAGATGGACGTGTACAGAGTATTATGAAAAGGAGGTTCCACATCCAACTACGTCTGAGGCACCAAAAGGTGTCGAGGTGGCTGTAGAGATTGATTCAGGTAATGCTCTGATTAGTCAGGGCGTACCTGCTGTACAGCCACCACACACGCTCCAGCCCTACCAGCAGCCGAGCCATGACTTCACTAGTCCACAAGCCATGCAGAGCCCACCACAGGGACTGGCCCAAACCTCTCCTCTGACCTATGGTTCACCCCAGGAGGTTGTTGGTGGGGCCAACATGCAGCAGCCAGTGGCTCCTGTCACGATCCCTACAGCAACACCACAGGCCGGTGTAAATCAGCATCCCCCTGTAATACCCCAGCAGTTGCCCTATGCTGTGGATCCCCATGGAGGTTACCTTGCCTCTCAGTTCCATGCAGGGGTCATAGCTCCGGGAGGTGTCCGACAGCCAGACTTTATCCAGCCCACCGCTCCCTTCCAGACCCAGGTCCAGCCTCCGCTGCCGCATGTTACAGGAATTACAGGAATCTCTATTTCACCAGTTCCAGGGGTCACGGCACAGCCACCCATCAGCTTTACGCAGCAGCTGCCCCATCAAGGTCTGGTAGCCCCCCATGCCCAGGCATCCTTTGTAGGACAGCTACAGCCACAAGTCCAGCCCCCCTCCACTGCTAGAGTCCCAGTAGGGCTCACCCATGCCACCCACTACATGCCTTTGACTGCTCTGCAAGCTGACCTCCAGCCTCTCCTCACCCTGGGAGGGAGCTCCATAAGAACATCCCAGCTGGAGGATGCCCAGAAGCTTCTGCTGCAGCACAAAGGCCTGCTGGGTTTGCCCAGGCTCGGGATGACAGCAGGTGGAGAGGGGGCTGCAGAGGCCGGCGGCGGTGCTGCTGGAACACTGGCCCACATGGGGATGTCGGCTGAGGCCAGTGCCTTCATGGTCGCTGCTGCAGGCCTCAGGACTCAGCATGCTGACGGAGAGGAGGACAGGTGAGAATGCACAGCCTGTTTATTCTAATGTAAGGTTTTCAAGTAAACATTGTAGTTCAGGCTGCTTTTCATCGTAACATTACCTCACAAATACTTTCTGTTGCACTATATTAAAGGGCAAAACGTGCAGTGACATATTTGTCTCATCACATCATTGAAACAACCAAGCATGATGTACACAATCTGTTTATAGTGATGATACAGATAAAGGCTTTTATTCTACCACTGTAACTTTTCTGTTCTCCTATTAACAGCATCCTGCAGCTGGTTTTGCTGAGTTTCATTCAGATCTAGGAGTCCAATGTCACATTTGGGCATGTTCTTGTAAAGATGTCAGTGGCTGGAGTAGAAGTCTGCTGACTCACAGAGGGAGCTGGTGACTCAGCAGATGCTCTGCCGTGAATAGACCCCCTACCATCACACATCCACCTCTATCAGCTCAGGACTCTTTGTGTCGTCAGTAAGGCTGCATTTTCCCTGTTGCACTGCCTCTCACTCTCCCTTCTCCCCTCAGGTTTAGTCTTTTATTAGACACTGGATCTGTTGATTTGTACCAACCCGAGGGAACTGTGCAAGGGTTTATTTATGTGTACAATTACTCAATCCTATGTTCCTGTTAGTTTTGCTGCTCCAATGCGGTTATTGCAGTTGCAGGTACTTTATAAAAACGCACGGTTGGTCTAAATGGAGTCATTGCCCTGGAAAAAAACAGCTCCCGTGCCCCATTTGAAGACGCAGTGTTAGTCTTTCAGAGTTGTAGAGGGCCTGATCAGGAGTTGTGTTGCATGAATCTGATAAACTCTCCCTGCAGAGAGATGGAGCAGTGTTGTGGCAGCAGTCTAGTGTTACCACTGCACTGCCCTGTGTTCTGGTTTAGCAGGAGTTTCATGTTGTGAGTACAACAGTAATGCCTGCAGGCTATGGAGGGACTTTGACTGTCCGCCTCACCCAAACACCCATAACTGAAATACAAAACATAATCTTCAATGTTGTGGCTTTTATTTGAGCTGGTGGCAACAAATGCTCCCAAATGTATGTATATATCCTCAGACTTCTGAGGAGTTCCATGGTTAAAACAACAGTTGCTGTGCCAGTAAACATTCCTCTAATTTAATTATCAGCACAGCAGTTCTTTGGTGAGCTGAACTGTTCATGTATTGTCAGCTGTTCACATTGAGAGCGCGAGGAACGGAGAGACGCAGGGTGCAACAACTACTGGTTTGATCTTGACGTAGTCGTATTCAGCTGCAGACAGCAGGACTGTGTTCTTTGTGGAGGCTTTTGTCAACAATTCGAGGCACGTGTGTGTGTGTGTGTGTCCGTAAGTGTGGTTCTGTCTCTCCGTCTGTTTGTCGTGAATCGACCGCTGTCCTACAGACTGTCTGAGTGTGTCTTCTTTGTTCATAGTCATGGTCATCTCACTCTGTGATCCTGCTTTGTCTCTCTTTTACTCTCTCATATTCTCTGTTTAATCTCTCTTTATCACCCTCTCTTCTTTCTCTCTGTCTCCTTTCTTTTTGCATCATCTCAGCTGTCCGAGCTGTTCTCCTCTACCCTTTTCTTCTAGACAGTAGTCTGTTTGTCTCTGTCCACTCTTGTAACTTGTCTGAACAGGTAAGCAGTCAGTGTGATCTCACAAAGTCCAAGAACATCAACTGAGTGTGTGGTGACAGTGACGGCACAGTATGAAGGCCACTGCAGAGAGATTCTTGTTTTTTTTCTTCTACCATTTAAATTAATACGTTCACAAATTAACACCAATTTAGAATGTCACAGATAGATTGAAACAAAGTGCTTTGTTCAATATTTGGGTTCATGCAACTAATGATTTTTTTTAATAATTTTGTCCACAGAATGATGTCTTCAAATAGTGTTTGTCTGACCAACAGTACGAAACCCAAAGATGGCTGTCATGACTTTGACAATGTGTGATCCGGCACTGCTGTGTGCGTGACGTCATGTTGTGAAACGGCGATGTGGGCGTGTCTGTGTTTCCCAGGATGCTTTGCGGTCTGTTTCTCGATGTTGTCAGTGAGGTTGGTGTCAGTGAGTGCCGAAGGGACGGTTATATGAATCGGGGCCTTCGTCAGCCTGCAGGTCGGTGACTTGGATAGATGCCAACACTCGTGACTTTCACGTGCACACTTCCAGTGTGTTATCCACCTGTTGGCCGTGTGATATCTCTCTCTCTCCACCAACAACTACAGAGAAATAGGACTTTTCATACAGGTTGTAGAGGATGCATTTACTTATTGCTCACCACAGTTTGCAGATGTGAAGACGACAAGCACTGTAAAAAAAACAATAGTCCTCTTTAAACTGAGTTCTATTAGCTGAAGAGCTGTTTCAAGTTGTTTTCATGCAGAAATGGAGGTTACTAATATCACAAAGCACTTCTTGTGTGAGCACAGTCTGCATATTTCTTCTAGAACTACATGTTCTAGCAAAAATAACCAAAATAACACTGTACACTCTGGTTCAGGGCATTATTTTAGAATCATTTACCTTCTATTCTAATAATAAGTATTTCCTTTAAGTGTGGATTTCCCATCTTACTCCATATCAAAGATAAATGTAGTCATAGAACATTTAGTGTGTTTTATTGGGGTCATTTATCTGTATGACCTCATCCTTTGGAGCTATAAAAGTTAGAAGTGCAATCTTTATTGATTATTTGTTCCTTCTGCACACAGCATTATCAGTTTATAGTTTCCTGCTGTTAAGATGAGAGTTGGTCTTCTAAAAGTGAGAAGAATAACATGTTAGTTTGGTCTCTTGGTTGATTTTAATATCTCGGTATCGATGATAAACCGCCTAGTCGAACTCAGCGGTCGTACCGGCTTTGACTTGTGATGTTAATGCTGACGCGCTTGTTTTTAATTGACTCTCCGTCCATAACAGAGCTTTCATGAGATCCCGACAGCTACGACCAAATATGGATTCATGATTGGAGCGACTGTCAAAAGAAGAGCTTGTGTTATTATGTTTGACTTGAAGAACCTCCTTTCAGTGCCGTGGTCTGAGGATCCGAAGAGAAGCTTTAGACATTTTTCACTGGATGGAGAACACACCCCAAAATTCGTTGCATTGTTTGTACACCCTTTAATGACTAATAAACGTAACAAAGACAAGAATAAGATGACACACGTCAGCTTAAAGACTAAAACGTAAGCATCCGTGGACTAGGTGGACATAGTTTCCATATTTTTACATGAGATTTATTTAAATTCGAGAATCAAACTCTCAGACTAGAGGACGTTTAAGAGATTACACATATGTCTGTTGGCCTTTCTCAACAAATGTCTTCATTAAAGCCTGAAACTTTGCTGCATGATTTGTCCTAAAATGTATGTTACATTTTATATTATTTAGTCTTTCGAATATTGTAAAATATAGAAATGAAACCTCTGTGATATCCCATCTGAAAGACCTCAACACAGGCACATCTGCTGGTGTGTTTTTCATCTCCGTGAACCCCAGGTAGTTAGAAACAGATGTGCTTCTATGGAAACTCTCAGACTCTAATGTCTTTGTGCAACCAGACATCTTGCATTTAGCACATCATGCGTGCAGTTCAGTGTTTTGCAGTCTTGGTTTCTGTTTAATCGTGTTGTCATATATGTTTGGATCTTTTAAATTAGAAGTCAGACGGCAGCCTTGTGAAGTCTCTTGCTCGGTTGTAATCTCCTGGATGTCGAGAGCAATAAATCACACCTGAAGGTAGTTCAGCCGTTTGTCTTTTAATGAGGCGATGAAGTCACGCTTCAATAGAGATATAAACCCAACTGTCTGTCTCCTCTCTCTCACGTTGTCGTACTGCTGTTACCCCACAAGGTGGCGGTGTTGCTTCACAAATCAACAGTTGTTTATATAACCCTGACATGCTCTGACCTAAAAAGTGCCTGGCAGCTGAGTGGAGAGGTCTTTCCTGCACGCAATGTAGGAATCACAAAGAATCTTCAATGCAATACACACAACTCACAGCTATCATGTGGATGCATTTGATCTGTGTTTTTTTGTTTTAGGAGACTGGTGTCCCGTTTGCTGGCCTTGTGCCTTCATGCAGAGCCGCAGATTGTTGAGAGGATGTAAAATGTGTCCGTGCATGTCTGTCTATGTTTATGAGCTCACCCATCAGGATGATTTTTGTGCACATGCGTGTGAAATGGAAGGTGTTTACGGGAGAGACGGGTTTTTTTTTAATGCTGCTTTTTCCCCTCCTGGCGTTTACACCGAGGGAAAACATAAGACAGAGGAGGAGAGGCAACAATACTAGTTTTAACCGGTCTCATCGCACACGTATTGCTGTTTTCTTTCCCTCTCAAACTACTTTTATGAGGTCGGCTTCAGCACAGGGACAGTGTCTTGCTCAAGGGCTCTTCAGCAGGACCGATGAAATCTGTCCAAAATATTTACGAGTCATCTCTCACGGAAGGCCTTTCCCCTTCCAGTTACTTTCTTTTCTTTTTGAAAGAAAAATGTGACGTGACCCCTCTACCACCTGTCAGAGAAAGACATTAATCCCCCCTGAGAGTGACACTTCCTGGTAAAGAGAAGTACTAATTCTGTGGAAAGCCTCGACCCTCACCACTGTGGAAACACACACACACTCGCAGCATGACGCCGGCACACTGCGGAGAGCCTCGAGCAAAGTTTCTCCTCGCCGACCGTGATCTTTGTGTTTACATTGACATCGAGCCCTCACACCTTTTTTAAACAGAAACATGTGCTGGGGGGGGGGGGTCGTGATGTTTTTAATGTCGTCAGTGTTGTGTAATATTTGATTGTATAATATATTTATGTAGACGCATGGATTAGAGGGTAGGGTGGCTGTTGAAGCCAGATTTTATTTTTGCGTGTGTGCATACAAAGCTTTTACGAATATGCAGGCGAAGAGCCTTCTTGCCAGTTTTGGGGTTTGTAATTATGGATTAATACGACATAATTGTATCATGTTGATTTATGATTTCATCACGACATGATGCCATTAAATTATCGCTCAGTCCTATACGTTCTTATAGATTTCCTTCCGTTAGTGTGTTCGTGGGTGCATACATGCCAGAGAATAAATGATAAATCTCTTGATCTACGAGTCGGTCATCAGACGAATCTAATTGTCAATTATTTCATTAATCGTGTGTGTTGTTTACGTCATTTTCTAGCTGATGTATTGTGAGGATATGCTGCTTTTTGGGAAGGCAAGTTGAGGAATGTGTGAGGCTGTCGACAGCTCATCCATCACAAGAAGGCCCGTCTGCAGTGAACTAGTCGAGATGTTGGAGCTCAGCCTCCCGTCTCCCTCGTCTGTCTCTACCGTGGCCCATACGGCACAGAGGTTATGTAAGGCGTTGCGTGCATGGCAGAGACCGATTTCATGCTCCGAAGCTCTGTGATGCCACGAGAGCTGGTTGAGTTTTGGGTTGTTCCTTCTCTGTGTTTGGGCAAAGGTCAAGGGCGATTATCAACAAGCAGAGGGTTGTATTTGATTGCTACCTTTGTCCGCTTATGAATTATACCTTCTCATAATTGTCACTCTGTTTTTTTTAATTTCTAAATTTGGAAGATCTAAGCACACTTCCTTTGTGTAAGTGTGTGTGTGTGTGTGTGTGCGTGCTGTGGGGTTGATCTTGCTGTCGGTATTGGCTCTCCTCTGTGTAAAATGCCAGCGTTAAAAGCCTCCGAGAAACCGGATCCCTCCAGTCTGCGAAACATAGCCTCGCACACTAAAATGGGACACACGCGAGTGCATGTCTCCCAGCGGCTTGAGGACAAGTGATGCGGAAGGTGGCTGGCGAATCACGGAGCTGACAAATAAATAAATAAAAAAATAGGATGCAAGAGGAGAAGCAGTGAAACAGTATTTGATGGAGGCACATAAAAAGCAGGCCAGGCTCTGACATCATCTGCTATAATCACCTCCCTAATTGCTTTATAATGTTCTCTGCTATCAAAGCCGCTTTACATTATCATATAACACTGCAGCCTGAGCTCTGCTTTCACTCTAACTGCACAATACAGTGAGGCGGAAGTGTTACTTACACTCAGCTGGGTGCTTTTGTGGATAAAGGAAGGGCTGTGGTAGAAAAGGGGGCGTCGCCTTCTAGTGTATGGACAGCAAACACACAGGGAGGCTTTTAGGCTTCTGTTTGCACTATTGGTTCAACACTTTTTTTCTTTTCTGGAACATTTAGCCGCTGGAGCTCAAAGATATCTCCTCTGCCTTCTTAAACTCTCACCTGGAAGGTGATTATTGTGGTTTTATGTAGAGAGTATTTTGTCGTTTTGTTTTGTTAAAGGCTTACGGGAGCCTGGTAATTGTTTTATCCACAGTTTGGCAGGGTGGAGCGCTCATTACCTAACTAATGAAGTCTTAGTGGAACATCAACACGGTAGCCTGCCCAATAAGGAAGATTTAATTTGGCATTTAAGTGACTTAAACTGAGTATTATTACGTTACCACTACTTCTCCTGACAGCATATAAGTCTCCCACGTGTAGTACAGCTTTAACATGGTGGTTAGGTAATATATGGGTCAACCCTTTGCACACGCCACGCACACTATCTTCGGACGGACGTGGATACATAATGAATATGATGTCATGGCATCAAGGTCTCTCGCCATTGGCTGAGCTGAGTCCATTGCGCCATCGCCAATTGGCTGAAAGTCTCCGGAACGCTCCCCTCAGACGATCTCCGAGCCTTTTGTTCCGAGTGTACGCCGACCCCCAGATCTGCAAACACACAATGTACAGATAGATATGAAGAGTTTTCAAGTGACAAATAAGAAAAAACAGTCGATACTAATCAACGATGGCACCTTTTTAAGTCACAAAATACAAATTTTAGTGACGTTTTATTAGTTTCTGCCACTCTCCAGTTGCTTTCTGGCCCTTCGATTGTTTCTCGGATTAGTGACACATACAATGGAGGAAAGAAAAGATGTGACCTTCACCTAATGAGGTTAATACATTCACTGCGTGCATTGAGCTCAATCCCACCAACAAACTCACCCCCGCGCGCGCACCTCGCTGCCATTTTGTGGTCCCCACAACTGCGCACCATCTTCTATCACGGTCGCCTCCTCCCTTTGTTCTCTGAAGTTATTTTTTGAGGTACAGCGTTGATGCGTTGGAGTTTTTTGTGCGCTGATCTACCGTCTAGCTAGCCGTCTTGTTTTGATCGGCTTTGTTCAGACTGTGATGCACACTTGCGTGGGAGATAACATGGAGGTACACGTGAGCCGTGCTCCAGTGGAGACCCATACTGTGAGTGTGTGTGTGTCAAGTGTGCATCCGCTGATGAGGAGCGACAGGACGGCTAAAGACATGCTTGGTTCAACATACACATTCTCCTTAAGGAGGGGCACCAAGTGAGGAATGTTTGCTGTTATGCTCGGGGGAATTTTAAGGGACCCTCTCGTCATTGTAGACAGATACCAGGAGGTTTAGAGTAGGGTGCCACGCCAATGTCCATCTCCATCACAAACAGGAAAGACGTGAAGGAGCGAGAGGTTGCAGACCGATGGGAGTGGCTTGTAGGTGTGTGGTCATGAGGAGCTCGTCCTATTGGACGGCTCACCGTAATCTCTGCTGAGAGTTTATGTAACAGCAGAAGGGGAGGTGACATCACAACCCACCCACATATCTCCCCTCACCATGCACCCAGTCGTCTTGAGAGTCGATGTGTGATTCAGGCTTCGTAAGGAGGATTCACGTTCCTGTTGTACGCACACACACACACCTTCTCATCCCCGTCCTCCATTGTTGGTCGGGGCTCCCCCTATGTGGATCTCCAACAGCTAAGGGGAGCAGGGGATCGGGCGGGGGGCCAAAGGGCGCAGGTCAGGAGGCCGGAGGAGGTGCAGTGGTGGTGGTGGTGGTGTTTGTTTTGGGGTGTTTTTAGCCTGAGAGCATCAATGAGAGAGAAGGGGCTGGGCCGGGACGCCATGGCCCTGAAGCTGCTCTTCTGGGAGCTGGAGAAGCATCTGAAGAGGTAACGATGGCTGTAGTGTTGTCACGTGGTCCGGGGGTGTAGTGGGGGGGTTTCAGGTCCGAGGGATTAAGCCAGTGGCTTTGTGTTGGTGTGTCTGTCTGATTGGTGTGGTGGCGTCCAGTTGATTGGATGTTTTTCTCAGTGTGTTTGAGGACACCGTGTTCTCGCTCCTGCACATGCATGCTGTTACACTTGACTGTGTGCGGGTAGGAGAGCGAGGCTGGCTGATGTTTATTCACCGTAACGTGGACCTTCACACGTCCGGACCCAAGACTTTATGTCTCGTCTGCTTTCAGTTGAGCTTTTCCCTCCAATCTCAACTGCCAGAGATAAGCATCATGTTCCAGTTCCTCAATCGATCCGGTCGGCCCATGTTTGCTTCCCTTTGTTCAGTTATCACGCCACTAATAGACTTCAGTCTCCAATAAACCCATTATTCATACAGCCTGTCCAACAAGAAATATACAACCTGTAAAAACACACATTTATCCTACAGTTGAGTGTTTAATATTTCCCATACAATACAGAAAACATGTGACGCTGCTCCTTTTGGAAGAAATAAAAAGGAGAACAAATGTTCATTTCCAGTTCTGTAAGATCGCTAAATCCTGTCCGAGTTCCCTTTGACCGTTAAAGCCCTAAAATACAAACGTATACGCAGGTTTTGTCTTCTCCTCATCCACGTTTCTGATCTCCAAACTCCCATGTTGACACACTTCCACTAACTGATCCAGAGACAGATGTAACACAGCTAAGGTGCTCATAAAAGGTGTGAAGAAGCAACAGTTAGAGGTCCGTTAGCTCGTACTGATTGAATTAAAATGGCCAAATGTACCTTTTCTTTTGTGCGCTGCAACTATGAGTTATTAGTTATGTCCAAAGCTCAAAGATATTCAGTTTAATAATAAACTTAATAATAAAATTCATTATCTGACCGATTGTTTCATGTTTCCTTCTAGTGCTAGAAAGACAAGTCATTTAATGGATTAGTTGTCGGACAGAAAATTAGTCTTCAAGTTTTGACAATCAGTTAATCATTTTAAACGTTTGTCAGGGGAAAATGAGAGGATTTGCCTTTTTTACGTCATTGTCAACTTGAATATATTTGAGGTTTTATACTGTTGGTTCAAATAAAACAATACATTTGTGATTTCCCTTAATAACTGTCTGACATTTCAGTATCATGGAGAAGGAAAATTGTCTTTTCTCTTTTATAGTTTTCAGACATCACGTTTCATATTTTAATATGAAATACTTAATAAAGAGCTTTAGTTTGTGGTGGACCAAATTTTAATACACGTTTTCATAATTAACTATTTCTTATCATTATCAATTCGTTTTTAATTATTTATTTGAATAATCCCCTCTCAGAGACAATGGAAGTGTCTCTTTTCTTCTGTTTACACCACTGCACAGATGTCAGTGTGTCCTCACGCGCGTGAGTTATAACCGACAGGTGGAGTCACTGTTTCGGTCACACTTTCTCCATCACCTGCAGTCCACATTTATAGAACAGTTTTGAGACAACACGAGACAAAATAGACGCTAAAAAAAAAACCAAAATGTCCGCTGTTGAATTGCTGCGTGCTCCATCGTCTCGAGGTTTTTTTATAGAGGACGGTGCAGCAGGTACAGAGAGACGTTGCTGAATTATTCCCATGTTATTACCCTCTCCTCCAATCCGGGAGCCGTCCTCCCACCGCATGTATTATGCTAATGAGCTCGCGTCTGCGCCAATCGCGCGGCTGCTGGCGCTGTTTTTCCTGCATGCATCACCCAGAGAGGGCGCCGCGGTGCGCGGAGCTGCACAGCCCGCCCCGCTTCAGTCTTTGTGTGTCCCGGCTGCGAGCTCTGCGGTCGCCCGGAGAGCAGACACCCCGACTGCCCCACAATAATGCGCTATTTTTCTACTTTTATACCGCTGGATTTCCGGTTCGAGGAGTCGCCTTCGGGGGTTTTAATGGGAATAGCATGAATTCCCAATGTTACACAGTGGCGATGGATCTTGGCGTTTGTCACCTGAGGAATTTCTCGATATCGTTTCTGTCCTCTGTGCTCGGGAAGGGGAGCGCGTCAGTCCGGCTTGACAATAGGTAAAGTCACTGCGCATTATCGCTGTCGTATTAGCGCCGTGCTGGAGGCTTGGTGACTTCATTTCATGCGTAAAAATGTTCAGGCTCATTGATTCTCCGCCATCAAAGCTTTCCTCGACCTCCATTTGCTTTGTTGCAGACACTAAATGGAGATCTCCTCTTATTACGAACAGAATTATTGTTTCCTCATGAAAGCTTCCACCCAGACTTTATGTATTTATACTGTTTGCAGCATAAAACCCGCAGCTTCCTCTGATCCAACCCTGCGGTGTCCTCATGCATGCGGCTTATGATCAACATCTCTTTCTTTTCTTCCAGCTCTTCCGGTGCAAGTGTGGTGGCCATCGACAACAAGATTGAACAAGCAATGGTGAGCAACATAAATCCAGTCATCTAATAATCATACAACCCGCACAGTGTTGGTAAATATGCCCGTTTGGCGCACAAAGGTTATGTAAGCAGAGCACACTGCAGCTGGTTTAGTCATGATTTAATTGCCTGTTAAATAATATTTTACGGATAACGTTATGGTTTTGTAGGGAGGAAAGTTCAGGAGTGAATGAATGAGAAGCATTATGGTGCTTTTTTTGCTTTCTACGTGAGTATTTCTGCTTATAAATCCAGCTGCTGATGCGTAAAAACCCATCATTTCCCGCATATATGCACCTGCGAAGGGGTTTCCTGCTGTCACGATTTAGACCGATGACCTCCGGCTTGCTGGCAACTTGAAATGGGCAGAGGTTCACACGCTATCCCCTGTCTCTCTCTCTTTCTCATGCATATACATAGTCCCCCCCCCCCACCCCGTGTTGCTAGGCAAGCAGCAGCCTCCCCGCGGCTCAGTATAAATAGCTCTGCCGGTGATAGGCTCCTCCCACTCCGGTGCAGGAACATTTTGTTCCCTCGCTGCGTACCGGGGCAGGGAGGAGGAGGAAGAGGAGGGGATGCTCAGATAATTAAACCCAAATCCTCCTTCAGCCGTCATGAGAGGGCACTGTACAGCTTTTTCTTTGTAATGATCCACCGTTTTCTGACGAGTTCACATTGTTGTACATGCATTCCTGTTGTCCTCATGAGACAGCTGGTGTGTTCTGTGTAATAATGTGAAGTGATATAAGACGACACTAAATTACCTGTTCCACTCTAACAGCATGTCTCTGAGTCAGTTTGATCGAACTAAAAATGCAGCCAAGCCAAATATATTTAAAAAAAAAAAAAAAAACGAAGGAGACCAGGTTTAGGAAGTCAAGAAGTATGTGTGGATCATGGAGTGTGTAATCCACTATTTTAATTATCGATTTAATCTGGACATTATTTTTTCTATTAATTGATACCAATTTAGTCGACAAATGGCAATTATAATTCCTCAAACACCAAAGAGACATTTTCATTTTTTTCCTTCGTCAGTTGAGAAACTGTAACCTTAATATGATTAATGGATTATCCACATAGTTGGTCAGTTAATTGACAAATGATTAAATGGCACATAAAAATGTAAAATGCTCGTAACAATTCCTCAAAAACAGAGATGAAGAAATTGCATCTTTTGTCTGACCAACAGTCCAAAACCCCAAAATATTAAATTTACAATAACAAATGAGAGAAGAGCAGTACGTCTTCACTTTGGAGAAGCTGGAACTAGCAAATTTGGGGGATTTTTGTTTGAAAAATGACACACAAGAGGGAAAGCAATGAATAAAAACATGAAAAATATCAACGTATCTGCAGATGAGTCTTCTGACTGATCACTTCATTGACTATATGTTCACAGCCTCAAACAACAAGATGTTTAAACGCGATGAATTACACGACTAACCTCGTCTCTCTCTGTCTGCGTCCTCAGGACCTGGTGAAGAGCCACCTGATGTACGCGGTGCGCGAAGAGGTGGAGGTGCTGAAGGAGCAGATCAAAGAGCTGATCGAGCGCAACACTCAGCTGGAGCAGGAGAACAACCTGCTGAAGAACCTGGCCAGCCCCGAGCAGATGGCTCAGTTCCAGGCGCAGGTCCAGACCGACGGCTCCCCGACCGGCACCGCCCAGCCTCCGGTCCCGGTCCCAGCCGGGACGGCACAAGTCCTCCCTTCCGCACAGAGCTCCGGCACGTCTGCGTAACACAGAAACTGCACTCTGGAGAGCCCCCTGAGGATGATAGGTAGGAAGGAGGAAGAGGAGGATGGAGTCGTGCCATATTGTGAACTGACTCTAGCATCAAGACCGACTTTGCCACCGTCTCGAGGAGCGCACACGTTCAACCGGAGGACGAACTTTTCTTTTGTTGCACATTTAATTTAACTAAAAGACTTCGGAGTTGCACCGACGTGTGTGTGTGTGTGTGTGTGTCGTCCGCTTTTATTACCTGCTCCAGACAATCGTCCGTCTTCATCGTGATGACGACGATGATGATGATGACAGTCGACCCATCGCCCAGCGGAGGAAGGAGCTGAACGAATCCCTCGCTGTGAGACCTGTGGAAAGCCATCGTCTTCGCCACACTCCCCTTCTCAACCCAGCACTGTCCCATCAGCACACACCTGACATTTTTTACTCCTCTTTTTGTTTTTTAGTGCTGCGGTTCATGCACTTTTTGTTTTTGTTTTCTTCAATCGATTCAAAAACAGCGGACGAAACACAGATTCGCACGACCCATCTGGAATGGGAGTCCTAAAGAGTCACATTTTACTTTATGTGAAGACGAGGACGCGTCGTCTTGATGTTCTGGGTTTAGAGGGGGGGGTTATAAAGAATTATTAAATGTATATATTAGCTGCGCCTCGTCGTTCACTCTGAGAACTCTTTGTTCTCTCGGAGGTTCTCGTCGCCGTCCCCCCACCCTCGATGAACCCTCCCCGTTCTCGGATGGAGCATTAAACATTTACGCAGGGAATCAAGTTTCTTTTTTGTTTTTGTCTTGGGAAAGGTTTGTTTTTGTCTGTTTATGTTTCCGCGCTTGTTGATGTGATTAGTGTCAAAGTGATGTGTAAAAATGAATTGATGGAGAGGAAAAATAAGTAGGACATGACTGTTTCTAGGTAGTACATTTTGTACAGATGAAAAAAATTCCACTTGAACTCTGCCAAGTGCCTGGTTTCCAACCATAGATACATATATACAAGCTTTTTTAGTTGTTTTATTCAAAATATGTAAATATATGTACATGTGTGTGTGTATATATATATATATATATATATATATATATATATTATATATATATATATCTATGGTTTTGCCAGGTTTTGAACTACCTGTGATGTTATTCAGGGTGGCAACACACGAGGATTATTTACTGGACGTCACCGCTCCGCTGACGTCGCTTAACTTCATCTGGACTGTTTCACCGTTTTGGGGACGTGTGATATCGGTCTTTTTTTCGTGAATAATCATGGTTTCTTTTTAGTTTTTTTCGGTCTTTTGTTCAGCCAAGTGTTTTGAGTTGCTCGTTGTGCAAATGGAGCGCTGAACACAACAGCAAGACAATTGGCAACACAAAGGAAAGAAAGAGAGAAAGGAAGGAAGATGCCTAGCAGACGTATGTTGATGTTTCGTGCATGTTCCTCAGCCCATCACAAATGTGACGTTACAATTGCACTAGACAGTTGCACCTCAAATAAAAAATGAAAACAAATAAGTAAAAAAACTGGACTCTTTTTCAACAATGTCGTGGTTGTATAGAAATATATAGATAGAAGTTTGATTTTAGTCATAAAAAGACCATTAACGTACGACTTTTCTCCATTTAGAAACTATAAACTGGATTTAAATCATTAAATTGATGCATAAATGTGGTTTTCCCTCAAATGAACCATGTTATCCTACATGTTCTAGCTAATAAACATCCCTCACTGCCTCCCAGTTCACCCACAGAAATCCCACTTAAAGCATGAATGGCTGCGTCCTCCATAGACCTCAGCGCACATGCGCAGAAGTGTACCAGCATGTAAATATTTACTTAAACATCGACCTCTCATTGGTTACATGCGACCGAGCCCCCTCCAGAGCCGTCTTACGGTTACTCCGCCCACCGCACGTGGACCTGCGCTCTCGTCGACGACGCGCGAACGGGAGCGCGCAGATATGTGGGACGACGACGTCACATGAAGGCGATTATAGGAGCTGAACATTACGTGTGTTTGTGTTTATCCCATAATAATAAAGTATTTTTAATAGAGCATTCAAAACTAGGGATTGCAAAAGTGCTTTAAAATAGAAGAAGAAAATGTCTAAAAGTACTTTCATACATGTAAACATACTTTATCTGTATACCAACCTGTATACATGAATACACAGTAAAGGCTGCCTTTTAATCTCAGACTTATAGTTCTGCTGTGATGTTTCTTACTACAAATCGTTTTGTTAATCTTCTCCCGACATGTACAGATGCTACAGTTTATGTTCTGCAGACTTAAGCTGCTGATACATCTGACAGTATAAAATCATACTTGTATAACCCAGACCATAACGTCACCGTTTATTCTGTATACTAACATCAGTGCAGTTTAATAAAAACCGTCGTGCAATAAAATAATTAGATAAAAGTTAATACAACTGAAGATTGTAATAATGCACCCATACAATGGGATGCAGCAGCAGCAGACTGTAACACTAGCTATATACTAACATAGGGTTGTTCTGGTTTATCCCATTTATTTTTGGCATTTTTGATTAAATTCTCTCAAATATAACATGTAAAATGAAATTTCCTCTCAATTCAGGCGATAAAAACTATTTTATTTTAGAGTTTCTTTGTAGTTTTAATGAAAAGAAACTGCTTAATGTGATAGTTTTTGTTTTTTACAACTCTGGTTGAAGTTTGACCTGCGGCTACAATGAAGAGCTTTAGTTTGTGGTGTCCTGGGACCAAATCTAATTAATTGAGGTCTTTAATCTAGTGTAAATCTATTTAGACGGCCTCGACCTGGCCTCCTCCCGCTCCTCAGGTCAGTCTGATCCCAGACCCCGACCTTGACTGGCTGGCTCGGTGGATCAGACGCTGCGTGGCGACAGAGCTCCTCTCCAGATGGCACTTTCACAAATCCCGTTTCATTGACAAAAGGTGTTTTCTTCAAGCACGCCGCCGCCGGGACAGGATGTTCTCCGAGGCCGAGGGATCACACGCGGATTAACCTCGTCTATTTGTGCCGCTGCTGATGTTTGGAGGCACAAATATAGAAGAGAATGATTTACATTGTGTGCTGTGATCCATCCAGTAAAATCTTTAGGCCTGCTGGCATATTTAAGCGGTTTATTAGTGTCCAACCAGAGGTTTTATTGACAAGAGCGCACATAAAATGATATCCTCACAACCTCTGTTTCCGGCCCAATGTTTCCAGACATACAAAGACCACTGTTCCCCAAAATCAACCCAAAAAATCCTCTTTACACCCCCTGAACTGGACCCCCCACTGAGAAAGCGGGTGGCCTGCTGGTTAAACCCTGAGCATCCCCCCCCCCCTACATGGGGTAAATAAAGCCTGTCTAGGCATCAGAAATACGCTTTGTACACACAGAGAGAAAAACCTGATAACAACACTCTCATCGCTGCGAAATCCCAAATATACACTGCGGATGAAACCAGATTTAGTAGTTGAGTTAAGAGGAAACAAACTAAAGCATGTGACCACACAGCAGGTGATTTCACACAGAAATAAAACTGTCGTGAGCAAATACAGTGACGGTTTCAGACAGATTGCTTGACCCAATAGCAGCAGTGATGAGAGCCGGTTAGATCCTCTAAATATTAAAGGTTCGGTCCTTTTGCAAAAGGGAGAACAACATCTGCACATGTGCACTTAATCAGCGCTCACATCTGAACATCTGGTTACACACAGAACACAGACGAAGGGTGAGTCGCTGGATGAACCACGTGGCACTAACAGGAGAAACCCTGGAAACATGTGGACGTTCCTGCTCATTACCAGCTCTACTGCTCCATGTGATGTGAGTTATTATTACCATGTCTCTTAGGGCCACATAAACCAGCGATTTCCTGCAGAAAGTGTTGCAGCGTTTAGTTTAACTGGAACGAACCCCAGGCACAGAAGCCAGCACCGCTCTTTAAGACAATAATTCAAAATGATGAAAACTGGCAAATAGCACTCACTAACCCATACGCATAGTAAGGAATCCATGTTGCTCTTTCAGAGTGCAGATAGAGACCTGAGAGGTCACAGAACAGTTTGTTCTCATATCTCCTCTATTCCCGGCAGTGGACTTCCTCCTCTAATCTTGTCTATTATTGAACATTAGGACAAAAATATTGAGTCGAGAAGGAGATGTTTGCTCACGTTTTTTCATTCATAAACAACATCTGCACAAACAAAGGACCTTGACGGATGAAACCGTTTTGCTTAATGCACAACCAAATGTATCAGGACTGAGCTGCCTTAGATGAAACTAAAATAAGCAAATGTTATAGATGGTGACTCGTGTTTGTGCAGATAAAATGAATTATTTTTCAAATCAAACTGAGAAAATATCCTAAAAATACGACCCGAGCCAATCTGAAGATGATACCGCTAACTTGCAAACCACACACACACACACACACACACACAGTATTTAATGGGGATTTGGTATTTTGTTGGGAAGCTTATGTTCAGTGTTCCCTGTCCTCGTCTGTCCTCCACCCAAAGTCACGTTTGTCGGAGGCACGTGCCACCGCCGCCCAGCGAGAGCCCTCTGAAATTCCAAAAACAAACCGCAGACGGAAGCACGGGGAGAGAGAGGCCCGTCGCTGGCGTCCCACTGGGAGAGAGGGGGATTATGGGGGATTACGGCCCTCTCTCATCCTCCACTTGTCCTCCCCTCAGCACCTTGTCTAAACAAGAGAAAGTTCCCCTCAAATCTCTTTCAGACACACAACAGATCAGTGAACCCGACTTAATGATTTCTCTTCCCTCACTCATCTGATTGTTTCTTTACCGCGTACATCTGGTTTTGCTGGTTTTCTAAAACGTCTGCGTCATTGTTTGTTCAGCGTCGTCATTGTGAGAAAGCAGTTTCATTCGTGGTGCGCATGCGTGGGCAGAGTTGAGATTAATAAACGTCAACGGGAGACCATCAGTCCTGAATTTACAGCTTATTGAATCATGTCATTTGGTGAATCTTTGCTAGCCTGCATCGTTAAGCAATTCACATTTTGAGAACAAGAAAACATCTCGGTAATTGTTGCGTGTGGTACAAAGGGATGAGGAGGAAGTTAAACTAGACAGCTGTAGCTGTAAATGATTTGAATTCTTTGTTTGTTTTGGCTGACACACATTTGTATGCGTCTGTGCAGCCAGACAGTCATTACACCGCTGTGGAGCTGACACAGCAGGAGGGACGACAATGACACATTTCACGTGTGCTGGAAATCCAAAGTTTCTCCTTTTTCTGCATATTCACCACAGCTGGTGTGTTTGAGCAGCTGTGCAGCAAATGGTGGACTAGAGGCCGAGGCTTGTTAAAAGCCATGCAGGTCTAGGACCCTAGATCAGCCCAGATACTGGACGCGTTGAGTAAATAAGCAGTTGAAGGCCTCATCTGTCTGACATCTGGCCGTCTGTGCGGACACATCTGCAGGAGAAGCTCACAAATCCTCCTTTTTGTTTGCGGTGGGGGGGCAGTGGGTGTGCTCAGTGTGCAGATAATTTGACACAGCGGAGTTAAACAAACCGTGACTTTTCCCTAAAAGCATATTTGTTCTGCGATCATCTTAGCGAGACTCTTCCTCCGCAGACCTTTTCTTGCACAGCAGAACTACTTGGGGAGTCATTTTGCTCTCTTGCAAAATAAACAGCAAGTTAACTGATAGATGGAGCTGATCCGTGTCAGAGATTTACTCCCCAGTGTGTTTTAATCCTCTTTCATTGCTTCTGAAACTCTTATTTCTGCGTATCATCCATGTCCTCGAAACCCTCCTTCCTCCAGCGTCTGGTACATCGTGTACAACCAGATCTAAACACGCGCTGTCTGAGGTCAGCTTCCATCACTGCGGTGCTTCCTGTTTGCTTCCCGTTTCTGAGACGGGAAGAGAAATCAGCCGCCTCCTCTTCTCACCTCACCCCCGGTTTCCACTTCCATTATCTTATTTTCAAAGGGCAGTGGGAAGACATGCAATTTCAACAACCTATCACCATCATTATGTGTCATTATACTTATAACACTGTCCTGCAAATGGCATCTTCATCTTT